AACATATATAAATCGACTCAGTTTTTAACGCTGATTCCGAATTTGATATTAGTTTTGAACCAAATCGTAGCTTTCTAACAAAACTTCCCCTGAAAACGGTCTCAAAATGCAGAAAAGCTGCATGCAAAAAGCAAATTGTCTAGATATGTCTCAGTTGATAAAAAACAAAGTGAATATACCTCTTCACTTTTTGAAGTACACATAACACTCGGATTTAAATTCGAGGTTTTCGCATTTATTTTTGTCTTTCTATCAAGACGCGAAAGGTCAGGAGTGAAAACTTGTAAATATAAAATATTCACATTTTCTATTTTGTTGTTCAAGAGCTACGAGGCTGACAATAGTAATAGGTAACAGTGGATTGCATCGACTCATATAGTTTATCAGCTTGTCGATATTCGATCGATCTTTTATTGTAAAATCTCGTATTATACAGTAAATTTAGTATCATCATTTTGTATATAGATCTATTCGTCTCCGTACTTTGAAGGTTCGTAAACCTATCAACAATTGTTCAACTATGGTAATATGAAAGAATTTTTCTGTTCATGATTGTTCAATCAAAAATGACTCACGATTAAGAGGATGTGGGTGTGATTGTCCGAGTCTTTCTGTCACCCTTATTTCTCTCTACTTACAACCATATTCTTGCCTTGAATCGATCAGTCAAAATCGATCTCAACTATTTTGTCTCAAAACATAATTCAAATTGAAAAATTAATTAATTTAGAAGAACAATGCAAGGAAACCGTCTCTAATTATGTTCAATTTATTTTCATTCTTTTGACAAGAAATACATCTCGGCAGAGGAACTTCGAATTCAAATTGAATCTCTATCGAATCTAATCGATTTTGATAAAACTTCATTGATCTTGATCAATTACGAAAAACTAAAAAGTCATATCGATTGCTATCTTTCATTGTATAATATCCAGTCAAATATTACTGTACTTTTGAATTATCTTTCATCGAAATATATGCCATACCAATACTATCGACAATGTTTCTCGAAGATTCAAAGAGCAGTATGAAAGTTCTTATTTTAGCCTGAAGTGTGACGATCAGTATTGTAACCGGTAACAGTACACGATTGGTCAGATAGAGGATTCCTTACCGACCGATATAGGTTTTTCGAGTTGTTGCATACAGTCGTCTGGGATAATTCGGATCAGTGTTCAAAAAAATCGTTGTATTTCAGCTATAACTCAACTATTTTGCATGTGACAAAAAAGATTTTTTCACCGACAGATAGCTTAGAGTGTTTTCTATCGAACCATGTAAAAATATTTTTAAAAAGTTAATTTTTTTATAGAGTTTTAAAAAAATGGCGAGAGCTCTAAAAAAATTATCCGAATTACACCAGATGGGGTAATTCGGATCACTCCAGCAAAATCAATATAACCTAACTTTCCCATCTTCCTGTTAATTAATAATTAATCAAAATTAAATAAAAAATATACCATTCGATAGCCCAAAGTGTTTTCTATGGGACCTGAAAAGATCTCGTCGATTCATTGAACCGTTGAAATAAAATTCTCATCACAATGAGACCTACTAAAGCGAAATTTTTTTTTTTCTTTTCTTTCTGGTGTAATTCGAATCACTCAAGCAAAATGTACTGGGGTAATTTGGATCATCCCAGCAATTTTATCTGAAGAGAGCTTGCAAAATCTCTAGCACTTCTCAAGTTGGTTTTCATTAGTTGAGTCTGACACAAAAAATGTTCGTCTCACTTTACTCTATCTATCCATATAAAATGAGGAAAAAAATGAATTGATTTGACCGATTACTGATGAAAATGAGAAAACACAAGAAAAAAACATTTTTTTCAACTGATCCTTCTCATCTTGAAATTGATATTGTATGTTTATAGGACCTCTCACGAAAACAATAATGAGAGTTAATTTAAAAAATATTAAGAATCTGCGAAATAATAGGAAAAATATTGAGACTTTCTAAACAGAATCATAGATGTGTTATCAGTCAGCAAGAATCCAAGTGAGTTTTTCTGAATGATATCTAAGAAAAAAAAGTTTGTCAATGCATCTGCTTTCAGGCCGAAATGTGAAAATCATGTATGTTGTCTCACCTTGTGAAACGAATGCAAAATATGTGGTGCGAAAAATCTCTTGTAGAATATAACTCTTTTTCAGATTAATCGATCGCCAGAGTAAGAATCTTTTTCATTTCAGTTTTTCGAATAGAAGCTTTTTCTTCTGCAAATGCTCTATGTTCTGCTCGCATTCATAGCATTTGCTCAATACTATTCATTTGTTTCGATTTGTTTTTGCAGATTTTACATTCTTATTTTAAAATCATTGAATTAATAGTAAAATAAGTCTGTGTCACAACTTCATGATATCTATAGCAGATCTTGCGCATTGTTACGCACTACTCAACACTGAAACAATGATATTCCTTATTGTTCGAAATAATAACTTGATCAATTTTTCAAAATAACTCTAGAAAATTGAACAAATGGTTTTATGGATTGCTTCATTCTGTAATGAGGAGAGGGTTGTCTGCAATGAGCATTTGCTTTCTTAAGTGTCTATAAACGGATGAGGAGGGAACCGTAAAACATCCACTTGAAACTAGAGGTGTGAAGTTATTGTTATTTTCAAAATAGCCTTTTTTAGCATTTTATGAAACGTGAATGTAATCTAATGTGTTATATGCCAATAGAAAGAGCACATAATTCTGAGTTGTAACGGGTAGTTACATGTGAGTCATATGTAAAGATTTCAAGAATATCAGAAAGAGTTATTTTCAAAATAACAATAACTTCACACCCCTACTTGAAACTTCCACTCGATATTTTCCTCGAAAATATACCTAAACTCTACGAAAAATAATCAACCTACAAATGAAGCAATCTAAATAGTCGGTGTATTGATTCGGTTTTGAACGGTGAGAAGATAAACATTCATACCACCACGCCGAAGTACTCTTAATATTTTTTAAATTAACTCTCATTATTGCGTAAAAAGTTGGTTTTGTGCTTTAAAAATTGAAGAAATAGGAAATTTAGAGATATTGAAATGTAACTTAATTTCGATTAAAAGCTATTTAGTTTGTCAAGGATTGATCATATGATTTTTATTTTTTCATAGTTTTGTAGCGGCAACATTTTTGTATAAGAAAAGTCGCACTTTTTTTCGTGAGAGGTCCTATAAACATGCAATATCAATTTCAAGATGAGAAGGATGAGTTGAAAAAAATGTTTTTTTCTTGTGTTTTCTCATTTTCATCGGTAATCGGTCAAATCAATTCATGTTTTTCTCATTTTACATGGATAGATGTTAGCATCACTAGATGTCACTCCATGACGCTAACTTATCCATATCATTGAAATACTTTTTTATTCTTTTCTATTTGATATGGATAATTCTTCTCGTGATTGAGATCATGTGATCTTTTTCGCTTTGCTGTGTTTTTCGTTATTGCGTCGTTTAGTTTCTCGTTTGGATATATAAGGGTTATCCTGATATTTATCCATGGGCATTTTTGTTTTGTTTTGTTTTTAGTTATCTCTTCTATGTTACCGTTATTTACATTATCACTACTTATTCTTCAATAAACTGATTTCATCATTGATCTCATTCCAAATCATTAATAATCACATACCCACATAAGGTAAACTAACTCATTACGTGAGTTCTCAGCAAAAGATCAATTAATCGGAAGAAACGCATCATTGACTGAGCGTAAAAAGAAAATAAAGATTAATTAATAACATCCTCTAAAGAGAACTTCACAGTTGGTGGAGAATCTGGGCATTCCAACCTGCGAATTTTATTAAAAGAAAAAGAATTTTTTTCTTTTCATTTTGTTGTTGTGAGTTACAACTTTATTAAAATTCTTAAAAAAAAAATGATTAATAACGATTTTACATCTAGTATACGAAAATCATTATCTCTTGATGATTTAAATATTCAAGTTACAGATGATATATATATTCTCACGTCTACAAAAAGTTCAGTAAAGAATTCGAGTATTTCGAAATATAACAATGGAAGAAAGGCTATATTACCGACGCCAAAAAGACCGAAAACCGTACAAAATTTATTAACAAACAATAATAAAAAAGAATTAAGTGACATAGGACAATCAGTTGTATCAAAGGATAATCGAAGTAACATTCGTGATGATAATAAATTGAATCTTGCTGCTAATAATATTATGAATAAATTGCGTGTCGTAAATCCGAACGCATCTTCACATGTAAATGCGAATTGTCATATTGAGAGTACATTAGTTTCAGATAAATTAAAGAGATAAAATCAATCATGTGATGTTGATAATATTGATAATATGCCGATGAATGATAACATCTATAAAAAAACAAATACGTCAAATCGCATAATTAAAAATCAGGAAGAAACGAATGTAGTAATCAATCATTCTCAACGGGAGGAGGATACCAGTGAAGAGAATTTTGATGTATTTGTGATGCAAAATTCCGTTGCATTTTCGGGGAAACAGAATGTCATAGAATGGATTGATGAAACAGAAAGTAAATTTAAACAGTTATGTATCGGAAGAAATTTAAGATTTGATGCTATTTTTCTGCTAGTCGAAGGTGAAGCTAAGCTAAAATACATAAAAAGTCGGGAAAAAATTCGATCCATTGAAGATTTTTATGCATTTCTATTGTCATACTATGAAAATTTTGATCACGCATCAAGTCAATTTAAGTCTTGCCAAACAACTACTAATAATTCATATGTTTTGGCATCATCACTTCAGATTCAATCCGCTAAGGATTCTATTCCGATTGCTATTAATAATAATAATTCAGCTCGTTCGACAAGTCAGTCAGCTATGTTTAATTCCACCAACATGATTGGTGAGAAATCAGTCGAGAAGTCAACCGTCGTTTTAGATAGTTCGTCTAATTCATTATTTGATCTAACATTAAATGATCTTCGTAAAGCGATTGTCGAAAACTTAATTAAAAATCCAAAAATTTTCAAAGGCGGTAAAGACAATGTGAAGAAATGGATTGAAGAAATTGAACATCTTTTCGAAGTAGCGCATATTCCGGATTCTATCCGACTAGATTTAATTTCTTATTCTCTACGAGATGATGCACTAGAATGGTTTCGAAATAATCGATCATCATTTAGTTCGTGGAATATTTTTGTACAGGAATTAAAACGAGCCTTTACTTCATCATTCCTTGGAGAATTAGCGTTCAAAAAACTAGAATCGTATAGTCAAGGAGAAAATCAGTCTATTCGAAATTATTTTAATGAAGTTCTTAAACTATGCAAAGAGGCTGATGATACTATGAGTGAATCAACAAAACTAAAAAATTTGTTAAATAAAACTAAACCTAGTATTCAATTTGAAGTTCGTAAGAACAAACCTACGTCAACGACAGAGTTTCTTCATTTTGCTAAAGAAGCGGAGAAACTAATGCAGCTATCCGAAATGACAGTTAATAATACTAATACTCAGGAAACTATTCAGATGAGTCAAAAATCAATGTCATCATTTGATTCTAATCCCTCATTTCGGATGAATCAACCGTTTAATGCTAATCCGAATAACTATTGGACTAATTACTCACGAAATTTCGATAATAGCTATCAAACATTGAATAATCGTAATTCTTATTATAATCCTAAATTTTCATCATCGTCGAATGCATCAGCTTCTCCAAATAAGGCCCGAGTTAACAATAATTCTTTACGATTTCATCAACAGAACATGACTAAACCGTCTATTAATAGTAATCGCAAAAATTTTCTGTACGCACAATCGAATTCTTCGAATAATAAGCAGTTTCGTCAGCCTACTGCAAACACAATTAATCCATCATATACATCCGTAGATATAGAACCGATACAAGATTCAGTTTCTGCAACTACTTGCAACCGATGTAATCAATTTGGACATGAGGCCTCAGCCTGTCCAAATTTTTAATTTCGGAGACATCAAACGATGGTGTTGTCTCCGGGAAAAAAGCTAAAAAACCATCTAAGTCATCTTTCATTTTTTTCACCACTACAGTTAATCATTACAAAACTAAGATTCTGATTGATACCGGAGCAACAACAACTTTTATAAACGAAAAATTATTAAATCATATCAATCAGCCTAAAGTCATTCATTGGAAATCCTACTCTTTCGTCTTAGCTGATGGAGTAACACCTTTTTAAGTCTTAGGAACAGTTAAATTGTTTGTACGATTCGCTAATATATTCACCACAATCGAAGCTCATATAGTCCGAAATTTGTGTGCAAACATTATACTACAAATGGATTATAAAAATTTATATAAATGTATTAACCATTCAGTCCATATTAATAAACTTGATGATGCTATTATAATTGAATCTTGTATTTGTTGTAATAATTTATTATTTAATTTTTTTGAATAAAAATAATTATCANTACCAACATTATACTAGAAATGGATTATATAAATTTATATAATCTAAGTTTTAATGTAAAACATCAAACTATTTCGATTGAATATGAGAAACGTATATTAACCATGAATATTGAGCCGGACTATAAGTTTAAAAGAATCCCAGTTACTTCATCTAAATCATTATATATTCCTCCTAAATCTCTGCTCGATCAACAACAGTTAATATACCTATTTCGACTCTTTATTCTTCTGTAGTTCCTAATAAATATTTACATCGTAATAAAGTATTTTTCGATACACATACACCTCTAAACTTTCGTAATTATTGTTCATCGATTACGTTCTCTAATGTGTCATCGTCTCCTCGATACACTAGAAAAAGATATTGTGTGGGTTTCCTGCTATGTCGTTCATTAGCTCAATCTTTTTCTGTTATACCTACATCTCTATTTAAATCATGTGACGTCACCAGATTTCCTGGCAAGACGACAGTGTTTTCTGATTTAAACACAGATGACGTAACTAAATTTCCTTCACATAAATCTTTCACATCCTCGATGTCAAATCGAAGTAATCGTATGTTCTATAATAGAATCTCTTCTTGTAACACCGTACTAACAGGTAGTGCGTTAATCAATAATCATATTGAATCGTTAGTTAAATCGATCAAAAATGACAAATATCGAGATAATTTATATAAATTATTAATCCGATTCTCAACTACTTTTGACATTAGCAAACATAATATCGCTAAAACATCAATTAATCACGTAATTAATACCGTTCCTCACGCGCCTCCAGCTTGTAAGCCTTACCCTCAACCAGATAAGGAACAAGCTATGTATAACTTAATGCAGGAATTTCTTCAAGCGGGATTGATATCTGAATCGCATTCACCGTATGCCGCACCCGCGATACTTATCAAAAAGAAGGATAACTCATATCGATTTGTAGTTGATTATAAAAAGTTGAACTTGATAACTATCAAAGATTCGTCACCTTTACCGAATATGGAGGATACCATTCGAAGGTTAGGTCAAGATTATAGTTACTTTTCAAAGCTTGATCTTAAATCCGGTTTTATCAAATACCGATAAATCATGCAGATAAGGAAAAGACAGCTTTTGTTACTCCTTTCAGTTTGTATCAATTTAATGTGTTACCTATGGGACTAAAGAATTCACCCCCCACTTTTCAGAAGGTAATGTCTGATACATTAAAAAATTGCCGTAACTTTTCTTTAGTATATCTTGATGATATAATTATTTTTTCTAAGCCGTTTGAAGAACATTTGTATCATCTTGAATGTGGGTGTGGGTGGGTGTGGGCTTGGGTGTGAGTGTGGGTGTGGGCGTGGGTGTGAGTCATGTTCTTAATTCATCTCACATCCACCCACACCCACACCCACCCCTTCAATAATATTATTTTAAATAAGTATATCACACGTTTAACAATAACTGTTATTGATAAAAACCAATAGAAATAAATATTTATAAAATAGTTAATATAATCAATTTAATTCAATTTAAAAACTCCTCTATTATTCAATGAAATTATTAATTTTTCAATATAAATAAAGTATTAAATATAAAAAATAAAGATATTTATTTTGTTATTTAATATATTAATAAATAAAAAAAAATTAATAAATAATAAGAGGGAAGATAAAACAATAAGCATATTTAAAATGAGTTAGAAATAAAATATAATAATTATTTTATGAAGCATTTAAAATTTAAAAAGAAAAGACAACATATAATATAGATAATAAATAGGTAAATTTGAACTTTTTACAATGAAAGAGTAGGTTTATTTTTCCACTTGCTTTTTCTAAAATTTTCTTGGAATATCGTCAGATAAACTATAATATTATAAAGAGAATATTTTTAATGTTCGATTTTGTTCAATTATTTTATAATAGCTTCGAATGATTGATCAGTTATTAATTTATTAAATGAAATATAAAGTTTCTTATTAGGTGAAAAAGATGAATTTTTATCAATAGCAGAAAGCAGGTCAGATAATAATTGAACACCATAATCTCTTATACTGGTATTAGATATAGCTAAAAAACTAATTGTTCGAGATATTTTAATAAACGAATTGAATGTTCAATACCTTGATCGTCTATACTTGAATTATATGATAAACTAAGATATTGTTATTTTAATTGTGATTTTGATAATATAATTCTATCAACAAAAATGTTAATACCAATTGATGTCAAATTATTACCATGCAATATAATACTAATAGATTTTGTTATTTGTTGAATAAATTTTTTTTTGTGTAATTGATATAGTATGACAACCATTTAAATTAGTGGAAGATAAATTCATTATACCAAAAATATGTAATCGTTGATGTTTCGTATGATTTATCCAAAGATGATAGATCTTTTTTATTTGTGTCTTCTAATAAATGAAATTTTTGATTGATTATTGTATTTGTATAATTTTTTATTTGATTTATATTGAAGCTTTGATTCATGTTTTTCTTATGAACCTGTGAAAAAAAAAGAAAGGATACAAATGGGTAAATGTATTTAATGTCGATCTTAAGATCATTGAAATCATTTATTTTTTCGAGTTTTTCTAAGTTAATCAAAAATTAATTTTTTTAACTTTTTAATTTCTCAATAAAATGATATATTTCTTTGATAAAAGAAAATGATAATATAAGTAATAGTTCATAATGATTATCAGCTTAAAAAAGAGAATTTTTCGAATTTTGAAAATAATAACGAATGAAAACGTTTAATTATATTCTATTATGTTATTTTCTCTATATGAATAAAATGATTTATGTCATAGAATAATCGATTAAATATTCTTGGAAACAAAAAAGAAAATATTTACTTAATTTTACCGTAAATTGTGATAGATATTGTATGATTTCGTGAACATTGTTATCTTGTTCGGTATTTGATGGTTTCGATATGCACAGTTGTTCTCCTCATATGAAATTTTTTGAGTGATGTTGAAATTTGAAAATTTTCAGTCTTTTCTTTAATAGCTTTTGGTGGTGATAGTAGAATTTATCTTGTTCTCTTTAATAAAGTAGAAAAAACAAAAAAAACAAGGATTTGTGTTTGTCTTCTATCTAATCGATAAATATAACTAAAAATGATAGTTATCAACTCTAAACAATTGATTTCGAAATGCATTTGTAATCATTCAATATGTACCACAGTTTTTGTGGAACTCACATATATTTTCGAAGAAAATAGTGAGTGTAAGTTTTCATTACGAGGTTTCGCGGCGCCCCCCCCCCCATTACAGACACATAGTAACGGGAAAGAGAACATTACAGACATCCCCCCATTACAGACCCCCACCATTACAGACCCCCCCCCCCCACATTNTGTGTCAGAGTCAACTTATGAAAATCAACTCGAAAAGTGCTAGAGGTTTTGCAAGTTCTCTCCAGCTAAAATTGCTGGGATGATCCGAATTACACGAAAAAGAAAAGAAAAAAAAATTTTCTTTAGTAGGTCTCATTGTGATGAGAATTTCATTTCAACGGTTCAATGAATTGACGAGATCTTTTCAGATCCCATAGAAAACACTTTTGGCTATCGAATGGTATATTTTTTATTTCATTTTAATTAACAATTAATTAACAGGAGGATGGAAAAGTTAGGTTCTATTGATCTTGCTGAAATAATCCGAATTATCCCAACACATTTTGCTTATTGAACCGAATTACCCCCGACGACTATAGTACAGAGCATTGAGACTAATTAATAATTCGTGTTAGACAGTCGTGTGGATCTAAAGTTTTTTCATACAAAAATAAATAAGACTGCATTATTAAAGAGAACCATTTCATTATAGAAAGTTTGCAATATGAATTGAGTTTTCAAATTTAAGTGAGAACTTTTTACGTAATATGTTGATAGAGACAAGGCATGTTTTTATTGAAAAAAAAAGAACAATGTATATAAACAAGCGTCAAATCACTACTTTCCGATATTATTACAAAGTTGGAATAAGAAAAAATCCCAATTCGTAACTTTTTTACTTCTCAAACCCTGATAACAGTAATAAAACAAAATCGACATTCGCTTGTAGCTATACAGCTGATTATGCTATCGATATAATAAATATTCTTTATATCAATGATACAACTCAACACATGTATTGACAAAAAGAGTACAAAGCAACAATAGTTGACTCGACAGCTCGAAATACTATATCAAACTAGAAAATTCTACTAGCTATGTGAAAAGACAAAGAGAGATGAAAACAGCTATATATATATATGTAGTTTTTGCAAACTTAATTATCTTAGAATCGACTAATAGAAACCAATTTTTTTCTTGATGAAAGCACTAGTACTAGTCGAACTAATTGAATTTTAATGAAAGAAAATAGATGCAATTTGCAAAAGAACAAACCAAAGTGAACACAAACTTCTACACTAGTGAGTTTTATTACTAATGCTTGACAATTAATGAACAGATCTCTGTTGAGTCGAATAAATATTTTTTAATTTGGTTTCACTCGTTAGCTGCAGCCTTTCATACAAGTATACTATACACAAATACAATACAATTTAGCTTAGTCAGGATACCATAATGATCCATTTTTAATGCATGATTTTCCCATTTCGACGAGATGTTCTACTGTAGCTCGATTGTTGTGATAGTAATCTAAATTTCTTCTTGCAATATGTGCACGTGCTAACTCAAATAAATCATAATCTGCTATTTTTATTCCTTGAAAATTTGGCGGAAAATACCATTGTCCACGATATCGGAAGCCTCGAAATACTTTCATATTCCATGACAAAGCAGAGTGCAATATATTACCACCGAAGGGTGTGGGTGTGGGGTGTGGGTGTGTGATGTGGGTGTGCCTGTGAATTTCGGTGTAGGTGGCGGTGTGGGCTGTGGGTGTGAATGTGTATGTGAGTGTGGGTGTGAATATGTATGTGAGTGTGGGTGTGGGTATGGGTGTGTGATGTGGGTGTGCGTTGGGGTGTGAGTGAACTGAACGCTTTCAATTATCAACATCCCACACCCACACCCTACACCTTCCGGTAGATTGTGTAGAAATAACTTTGATGACGGTATGCTCATGAATAGGGAGCGAAATTCTGTTTCGTTTTCATATTTGTCTCCAGTAACAAACAGTTGCCAGTTGGTATATGATTGAGAAAGTATTGATTGGACTGCTTTCTTTATGTAGTACGGTGATCGACCATTTTTTCGCGTATAAGACGACATAATAATAATAAATAAATGGTCACTATTAGTCTTTGAAGTTGTGGCATTACTGAGATCAACAAGTATCGACATATGGAAAGAATTCATATAAATTACAATCAGCAGGACTATGATGCAAAGGATGAGTCTCTTGACAATGGAGTTGTATTTTAACATAGTAGATTGTACACGAAGTTTGTTTATAAAGATGATTGCAAAATTAACTGTTTGTAGATGTAATTGCGTAGAAATTTAATAATCTTGATGACGACGATCTAATTATGCAGTTAGATCACAGCTTTTCATGCTATAATCTATATATATATAATGTTCAGTGTCTGTCTGTGTGTGTGTGTGTGTGTGTGTGTGTTTGTGCCGGGTCAAACTTAAAAGTCAAAAAAGACTATATGGGGTAAGGCTATAAAGGGGTAAGGCCATAAGAGGATAAGGCTTTAAGGCAGAAGTCTATAATGGGGGAAGACTATTAGGGGTAAGGCAATAAGGGGATAAGGCTATAAAGGGGTAACGTTGTAAAGGGGAAAGGCTATAAAGAAGTAAGACAATAAGGGGTAACGCTGTAAAGGAGTAAGGCTATAAGGGGGAATACTATAAGGAGGAAACTCTATAATGTGGTAAGGCTATGAAGGAGTAAGGCTATAAGGGGGAAGCTATAAGGGTAAGGCTACAAAAAATATAAGACAATAAGACCATAAGGCTACATGGGCTATCAGCGATGTAAGGATACCAGACCGTATGGGTTCTATGTACATAATGTCAAGTGTCTGTGTATCTGCTACCGAGTGAAAGGTTAAACGTTTGAGGTCGTACGTTAAGGAAAAAAGCCTGCCATGCAGTATGCACGGGCTCTCGCTAGTAATAAGATAAACCATTGATCTGGCATTCGTTTATATGGTACGCAAAATGTAGAAAGAAAACATCGACTATGAATGTATGTATAATTTTTCAGGTATATTGGATATTATATGTATCCCATCATCTATTGTCCTGTGATGGTCTTGGATTTGCCAATAGGATTGCTCAGTTTTTGATATTCTTTCTCGAGTCTCTTTTGTCAGAATTTCTTTTTAATTTTAGTTTCATGAGAAGTAAATAATCTCTGGCCAAAAGCGGCAAGTAACTACTGATTGATTGATTCTTTCTTTTATCTAATGAAATACTTTTTGAAAAAGTGTCATCGAAGAATAATTGGTCGAAAGTTATTTAGTTGATAGTTATAAAAATGGTAGCATTTACTTGTTATTATTTTACATTTTTCATAAGTGTTCTACAAAACAGCATATCCTATGATAGAATTGAAAAAGAATAACAGCATTGTTATATAGTTAGTCGATCACTCTTAATATAGTTGTATTGTGAAGATTAATTGTGTTAGTGACTCGTGGTCACTGTTAAGTAAATAAAATTTAAGAGTAACTCTCTCGAAATTCTACCACAATATGCAATAGTATCTTCAAATCACATCAAGGTTGGCAGATTTACAGAATACTTTGTGCTACTTATTTTGGCTATAAAAAGTTTAAGGCTTCTATTTAAAATAATGAACTATTAAATACATCATTTCATTAGAAAATCACATCTTTAATGAATAATACAATTAAATAACAAGATTCATTCTTAGTTTTATTTCTTTTATTATTTCATGCATGATGATATTCCACACATGAAATCTTGTGAACTAGGTAAAATTGCAACGTTTTCTCAGACGAAATATGTGATAACTCAGCACTGAAAATACTTAGAATTCTGCAGTTTGATGCTATTAAGGCTTCGAAAGAGCAAAATTTGCTCTATCTAATTCCATAATTAATCTTCTATGGAAGTAAGATTCTGTTATGAGAAGACAATCGACAAGAAAAACTACTATTTCTCCTTGGGAGAGAAAAGTGTTTCTTTTTTGTTTCATATAATTCTGTAGATCGTTCAACAATTTAAATAAATTTTAGAATGTGTATCTTTACTATGGCAAAAAGCAATAATAAGCTCTCGAAATACATCATGCTAAAACTCGTTGACTCAATTTTTCTATATAGTTTTAAAATCTGACATTAACATAAGCTGTTTTTTTCCATTACGAATTCGAATAAAATAATACTCTCATCAGTTATTTACTGGGACATGTTTTCAATATCGCATCGGTCTAAGACGAAAATCTTCATTGCTTAAAGTAAGAGCATTCAATTTTCAGCAGCAGCACTTCATGTTTGAATGAATTACAGTGTAGCTCCATTAAATTTTTTCGTATTTCTTACTTTACACTCTTAGTTTTCGTTTATAATATATAGTGTCTAGTGAGAAAGTATATACTTAACTGCACGTCAAAAAAAGATCACATTTTTTTTGTACTATACTCGACAGTAAGAATGAATCAGATTTTTGTCTTTCCGTATTTGTTTTTTTCATATCGATGGACAAAAATAGGTTATCAATAGAAATTGTGAAAAAGAATTTGTCTTGAACTTGGTGCATATTTTGTTATGTCGTAGATCAAGATTCGAACAGATATAAAAGTTATTCTTTGTCAATATATCTATCTTTTCCTTCCATCTATTCGTTTGCCTAAATCTACAGTCCATTAAAGGAATATCACAGATCCTTATA